TCGGGAGCGGCCAAGAGGGGGGCGTCCAAGAGGGGGGGTGCAAATCATGACCGGCGGCATGTGCGCGGCCCAGCGGGGGGGCCAGGGACGTAATGAAATAAGAAGAGGCGCCATGAAATCTGGGGAAATATCATGGCCCACGCCATGATATCCCCCCCCCTAGTCATCACCCCCCTCTTTTTTTCCGCCCCCGAACTCGGGAGAAGTCGAGTCGGCGGAGATCGGCAGGCTGGTAGGCCTCCGCTGAGAAATCGGAGCCCGCACCGGAATCCGAGGTCGAACAGAAGCGGGATCGGGATCCATCGAGATCGACTCGAACCAAAAATCGGAAGAATCGAATCAAGCCCTGTAGATCTTCAACATGTTAGAAAGAATCGAGGCGGAACTTTCTCGCCGCTTTCCGGTCTCTGGAGTCCGCTTCTGGGCCCCGGGGCCATCAGAAAGCGTCTCGGGATTCAAGATCGGTGCACACAAAGAGGTCGAGGCCTTCAAGGCCCAAGTATTGAAGTGGCACGACGCCGCAGTTTTGAGCAATTGAACCGGAGGACGCTCACAAAGGAAATGCTGCTTCGGCACGCCGGCCGAGCGTGGAGGGAAAGCGAGGGCATTCGACCCCTGAGCCCTGAAGCAGGGGGTGCCTGAAATCCCCCGAGCAGTGCTTGCACTTGGGGGTCTCTACTCGGGGGCGGCCAGAGGGGGGCGTCCAAGAGGGGGGGGTGCAAATCATGACCAGCGGCACGTGCGCGGCCCGGGGCCGGGGGGCTGGGGACGTAATGAAATAAGAAGAGGCGCCATGAAATCTGAGGAAATATCATGGCCCACGCCATGATATGCCCCCCCTAGTCTAAGGGGAAAACAAACATACCTCGCTTTTGACCACCCTCGCTTCCAAGAGATACCAAGCGATGCCAAACTGCGGCCTGTACTGGATCAGGCCGCTCGCCGGGGAGGCGCGTGGTATGGCTTGGTGTTGCCTGGAAGCGAAAGCGGGGTAGGTAATTCACGCTCTGATGGTAGGCCTCCGCTGAGAAATCGGAACCCGCAGCGGAATCCGAGGTCGAATAGAATGGGGATCGGGATCCCTCGAAATCGAGTCGAACCAGATCGGAGGAATCGGATCAAGCCCTGTAGATCTCCAACATGTTAGAAAGAATCCCCAGGCCAGTGCTCTCTGATAGTCATCGCCCCCGATCTGCGCCATGATATCCCCCCCCCTACAGTCGGGGCGTTGACCTAAGGAACCCTAAATAAGGAACGAGGCCCCTATTGTCCATAAGTTCAACTCCGATTTCATATCGAAAGCCTAATGAAAACCTGAGGCAAGCTGCGAAACAGTTAAGGAACACGGAGCCCCTCCCCAATGAGAAGGGTTCCTTCTTCAGCGCCCCGACTGTAGATTCGGGGTCGCATCGGATCGGCCCCGCAAGAGATGCACCACGGCGCCATGCGAGAGATCGGGTCGCATCAGGTCGCCAGAAGATCGAAATCGAACCAGATCGGGCCGGCTGACATCGATATCGAAACGTATCGATCGGATCAAAACTGACCCTGGGTTCAGGTCGGGCATGCACTCCTGCAGCAAAAGATATCCCCCCCCCCCCCTGGTCATCGCCCCCCTCCTTCCCGCCCCCGCTCTGCGTGTCCCCGAGCTGCTCCGGGTGGGTCTGCTGGGGCTCCCGCCCGGTGGGCGGCCGTGGGCGCCCTCTGCGCCGGCTGGGCCTCCGCCGGGGCCTCGCCGGGTGGGCGGTCGTGGACGCCTCGCGAGCGCGACGTGCGCTGGCCGATGCTACAGGGCAGTTCTCAATACATTTGATTTATATATATATATATATATGTAGATATATGTGTATATGTATATATATGTGTATATGTGTATATATATGAATTTCAATACATGATTAATTCAATACATGATTAATTCATGAATGAATTTATGCATGAAGTCATCGTTGCTTTTAGTACTAAAGCCCTGCATTTTTTATGCATGATCCGCACGCGGAGTATAAAAAAAGCGGCGCTGTGCCGAGGTTCCGCCCAGTGGGCGGCCGTGGGCTCCCGGCGGGCGCCCCGTGCGCTGGCTTTCTCTGCCGAGGTCTCGCCCGACGGCCGGCCGCGGGCGCCCCGCGGGCGCCCCTTGTACAGCCTGCACTACGCAGCCTGCGTGCGCTGCATTGCTCACGCCACGTTGCTGCACCGCACAGCTTGCACCACGCAGCCTACACCACACAGCTTGCAACACACACACACACACACACATATATATATATATATATAATTGGCACCACACTTCATCCTTTGCGGCACGGTGTTTGCACTACACTGCTTGCCAGACACATATTACACCACGCGCAGCTTGCACAACGTTGCTTTCCCCACACAGAGCTTTCACCACACGGCTTACACGCCCAGGGTGTACGAACTCACTGAGCCCTACGCTGGCAGACATAGTCTAGGACATGAGATGCTCAGCGACCGACGACGAGCAAGCAGGATAACTTCCAGAGGGGTCGAAGGCCTTAGGCTTAGGAGCCCTTCGGAGCACCTCGGGAGGCTCCTGGGGGCCATCGGAGGGCGTCGCCTGTCAACCCGCACCGGTCCCGGCCAGGTCGACCATGGGCGCCCGAAATCGACGGCAGCGCCCGCCCTGGCGTGGCCACAAGAGCGTGCACACGGGCCCTGAGCACCTGGGTCACCCCACTTCGCGCATCGCACCCCACGATGAGCGACGCGCGGCTACCTTCGCGCCCCCTCGCCCCCGCCCTGGAGAGGGGCAGCTGTCCTTGCGAGGCCGCGACGCGCGAAGCGCGATTTGGGGTGATCCAGGGCCCTGAGCACGGGCTTGGCACAGGTGGGTATCGATGTGCTGCCCGCGGAACACGGCTCTCGGTGAAGGAAGAGCATGCGTCAAGAGCATGAGAGGACAGAGAGAGCCAGCGCCGAGTCGCGTGTCACGAACCCACAAATGTGCAAGCAGAGGGCAGCAGCGGCACCAGCACCGGCATCAGCGCTGGCAGCAGCTGCAAGCCATCCACCCACCGATGAGCAGGCAGGGCCTGTAGGTCTGGAAGCCCAGCCACAGGACCATGATGATGCTCATCGAATTGTACCCGGAGGGCAGCATCGGCACGTGCACCAGCCGCACCATGCAGCACACGATCAGCACGAGGCACGCCTTCCGCGCCGAGGACCCAGGGAGTCGGCGGTGGACAAACCTCCCTTTAGTAAACCTCCCCTTAGTGAAAACGGCCTGGGACCGAAACCGACGGACCTGGACCCGCAAAAATGACGGCCGCGACGCCCTCTCGCGAACCGAAAACGGCCAATTTCTGAATCGACGTGTCAGGGTGGAAGGTCTGTCCACCCCCGAGGGAGGGCAAGGCCAGCCAGCCCTCCAGCGTCTTCGGAAGGCGATGCCAGGCGGAGGCAGGATCACCGAGCGCCGGATCGGGACGTCGACCGAATCGGAATGTGCATCGGATCGGGCTGCATCGGCATACAGTCGAGGCGCTGACCTAAGGAATCCTAAATAAGGAACGAGGCCCCTATTTTCCATAAGTTGAACTTCGATTTCGTATCGAAAAGCTAAGGCAAGCTGCGAAACAATTAAGGAACACGGAGCCCCTTCTTCAGCGCCCCGACTGTAGATTCGGGGTCGCATCGGATCGGCCCCGCAAGAGATGCACCACGGCGCCATGCGAGAGATCGGGTCGCATCAGGTCGCCAGAAGATCGAAATCGAACCAGATCGGGCCGGCTGACATCGATATCGAAACGTATCGATCGGATCAAAACTGACCCTGGGTTCAGGTCGGGCATGCACTCCTGCAGGCGGATGTTGGAAGACAGATCTTTCAACAAATAATCAAAGAGTGCTCAAGAGTAGCCAAACATAGTCGAAACATCCTCCCCAGACTATTCTCTTACCACCTTCGAATCTTCCTCCTGTAGAGGAACATGCCCGACTTAACTTTAAGTCGGGCCTGTCCCCCTACAGGGGGATTTTCGACGAAAAATACAAAAAAAACAAAAATCGTCAAAAAAATATCCAAAAATAGTCCGGGGGACTATTTTGGGAGTATTTTTTGACCCTTTTGGGGTACTTTTGGGGTATTCTTCATTTTTCGCCGAAAATCTCCCTGCAAGGGGACAGGCCCGACCTAAGGCCAGGGCAGCAGGCCCGCACTTGGTGCGCGCGTGGCGGTCGGCGGCGCGTCCAATTTGGACGCCCGAAGTGGGCACGGAAAGAATGCGCACACTGCCCAACAACAAACGTTGTCCCAGACCAACAGCGGCCGCTGTTGGGCAGGCGGCCTTCTGTCTCGAGTGGACACGGGCCGCGGCGGCGTGGACAGCGAGTCCTGTTCAGAATGAAAAGAAACTGCTGTTGGGTATTGTACCCATTCTTTCCGTGCCCATCTCGCTCGCGCAGATCCAGGGGTGGAGGCAGCAGAGGGGGGCCGGCCTCGCCCCGCCAACACAAAGGCGAGAAGGAGGCGCGGGGCGACGACGCCGCCGCCGCAGACGGCAGCGACGCCGACGCCGACCGACGCCGGCGCCGACGTCGCCGCCGCCGACGAGGACGACGAGGACGAGGAGGACGAGGACGAGGACGGGGACGAGGACGGGGACGACGACGACGACGACGACGAGGACGAAGACGACGACGACGAAGACGAGTGCACCAACTGCACGACCACGGAAACACGCGGCTGGCCGTCCCCACCCCCGCGTCGTCGGAGGGCGGGGGGGCAGGTGCAGGACTAGGCAACCGCATGTGAGGCCTGCCCCTGCAGGTCAGACTTATGACAAGTTGGCTGGGGATCAGAGCGCAAAGGATGTCCGCAACCAAGTGAGCGACGAGAAGAAAGGCCGGGGCTCACGCGGGCCCACGCTGGGGCTCACGCGGGCCGCCAGCGTGGCACACCGCGGGGCGAAGAGGGCGCTTACGCGCGACATTACGTGGAAAGCTGACGCGCGAATGTCCGCGCAATCGACCCGTTTTTCTGCGTCGTTCATGTGAACCCTGCCCCTGCAGGTCAGATTTATGAAAAACCAGCTGGGGTTCAGAGTTTGAATGATGTCCGCAACCAAGCGAAACGACGTAGCCATCCAGACTTTCCATCAGAACCACGGATCTGGACTGCTTTCAGCCTAGACTGGCATTTCAGTTCCAAGGTCCAGGGTCCAGATGCTGCTTTGTTTCGGGGGGGCGTGAGTGTGGGATAGAGCCAGAGGCAAGGGTAAGAAGGAGTATCGCTCTCGACGACCCCTCTGGAGGGAAACATCAGCCTCAAGCTGGGATCGTTCCCTAGCCGCTAGCCCCACCTTGGGCTACATCTCCTTCTGCGGGCCTCGAAGTACCCTCGATGTCCAGCCCACCTCGAAGGCTAGGCTCCTGCGGGTCCCCTGGGGGCCCGAGGGCGGCTCACCCAAGAAAGAGGCCGAGACGGCGGCGGAAAAGACCGCCCGGGGGAAGTGGCCCACCGCAGGTCGCGGGGGGAACCCCTGGGGATCCCCGGTGCGTCCCCGGGAAGTAGAAGCCTCCGGACCTGGACCGATCCCCCAGGCCATCCGCGACGACAATGCGACCAAAGACCGACCGAAACGGCAGCGAAACCGCAACTGCTCGAAACTGACAAGCCCCTCGACGGCGAGCGGCGAATCGGCGACGGGGGCGGCCGCGACGGCGAGCGGCGGGCGGCAACGGCGACGGCGGCGGCCGCTCCGAGGCGTTCGAAACTGACGAGGCGCTCAGAGGCTGCGATCGGCGGCGGCGGCGGCGCGGCCGGCGGGCGCAATCGGCTGCGCGGCGGGCCGCGCCAGCGAGCACACGATGATGAACCAGGCGCTGGCCTTGGCGGGCACGCCGCACAGACGCAGCAGGGCAACCAATGCCTGCTCGCGCGCGCTCTGGGCTGGCCAAGGACAACGGCGGTGGCGGCGGCGACAGCGACGGCGGCGGCGGCGACAGCGACGGCGGCGGCAACTGGTGTCCTCCTCCTCCGCCGCCTCCTGCTCGTCCTCGTCCTCGTCGTCCTCCTCTTCCTCCTTCTCCTTCTCCTCAGCAGCAGCAGCATCAGCATCAGCATCATAATCATCTGCATCATCTGCATCATCATCATCATCATCATCATCATCATCATCATCATCATCATCATCATCATCATCATCATCAGCATCAGCATCAGCATCAGCATCATCATCATCATCATCATCATCATCATCATCATCATCATCATCATCATCACCATCACCATCACCATCATCATCATCACCATCATCGCCATCGTCATCGTCATCGTCATCGTCATCATCATCAGCATCATCATTATCAGCATCAGCATCGTCATCCTCAGCGGCATCGTCATCATCATCAGCATCAGCATCATCATCATCGTCAACATCAGCATCCTCAGTATTATCAGCAGCACCACCACCACCATCATTCTCACAATCATCATCACAATCATCATCATCATCATCATCATCATCGTTACCACCACCACCAGCATCATCATCATAAGCATCATGAGCAACATCATCATAAGCATCATAATCATCATCAGCATCATCAGCATCACCATCCATCACCATCGTCAAAGCAGCATGATCATACTCATGATGTTCATCACGATGGTCATCATCATCATCATCATCATCATCATCACCATCATTATCATGATCATGATCAACAGCATCATCCTCATCATCATCAAACATCGTCATCGTCAGCATCATCAGCATCATCAGCATCATCATCATCACCACCATCACTCTCATCACCATCAACATCATCATCTTCTTCAACACCATCACCATCGTTACCGTCATCATCATACGTCACAGCATCATCATCAGCATCATCATCCTCGTCGATCATCATCAACAGCGTCACCATCATCAGCAAAATCAGCTTCATCATCATCATCATCATCATCGTCGTCGTCGGCGTCGTCGACACTATCAATATCATCACCATCACCGTCACCCTCACCCTCACCATTAGCATCAGCATCATCATTATCGTACTCATCATCATCATCATCACAATCACCATCTCCATCCCCCTCATCACCATCAAGTTCACCATCATATCCTGAAACATCATCATCCCAACATCAACCCCATGAGGCCCCAAACCATGAAGCCCCTGAGACACCCCACACTCAACCCAACGAAAACCCGCTTCTTCCTCCTCCTCTACCTCCTCCTTCTACTGCTCCTCCCACCCCCCCTCCTCCTCCTTCTCCTCCTCCTCCTCCTTCTCCTCCTCCTCCTCCTCCCCCTCCGCTTCCTCCTCTTTCTCCTCCTCCGCCTCCTCCTCCTCCTCATCCACCTCCTCCTCATCCACCTCCTCCTCCTCCTCCTCCTCCTCCTCGTCCTCCTGCTCCTCCTCGTCCTTCTCTTGCTCATCCCCCTCCTCTTCCTCCTCCTCCTTCTCCTCTTGCCTAACAGAGGAGTGATCCCCACATTGCGGCACTCCCTTCAGATGAGCAGCGCGAAGGACGGCCCGAAGTCGACCGCCATGCCCAGCCCCCTTCCACGAAAGACCACCCTCTTCGCAACTGGTGCCAGACAGCCTCTTACAATTGACTCAGGGACATCGGAAGTACCAGGAAAGAGCGCAAACTTCGGAATAAGACTGGCACTGATGACAGCAAACCGCCTCCACTGGCTCAAGAAAATTGTGCTGCTACTTTCCTGACCGCCTCAAATCAGGGTGTACGCAGGCCTCGCAAAAGAAGGTCCCACAATCACCAGAGTCCTCGATACAGAAGAACAAGTCTGCGCCGATTTCGATGTTTTGCCAACACCCCTCACAGAAGGGCCTACTGCCTGGGGTGTCATGCACATCTCTAACCAGCTCGTGTCCCTCAAAACAGAACCTGAAAGGGATACGCTCGGGAAGCTCTTCCGCGGTCTCTGTGGCCTCGCTCTCAGAGTCTGCCTCTGAAGCTCCAGCCACCTCGGCGGACTCCACAGCGTTGACCGCCGTACTATCTAAGCCGTTGTTGCTCGCCTCGTTGCTGCTCTCGATTGGCTCCCACACCCCGCGCGGAACGTGAGAGTTGATCACCGCCTGGCAAACGTCTACCTCGAACACCCTGGCCAGGAAATGGGCCGCAGCTCCAGGGACGAAGTCAGCAGCCCCACGATTCCAAGGAAAAGGACGAGGGAAAAGTTCGCCTCGAAGGCTGGACTCGAGCCGGGGCCCATGCTGGGCATGCCGCAGTTCCTTGCCTCCTGCACAAGAAACCTTCAGTCCAGAGGCCACAGCATGCAATGCAACGTTGCGCCGGAGAATCTCCTCGTGGTCAGGCTGAATGCCTTCCACAAGTTTGGCCAGGCAGGGAACCAGCGCCACAACCCGATCGGCAACCTCGGCTGGCAAGTCCAGGGCCAAGGCGGTGGCCGACAGCAGGTGGTTCAGCTTCCCCTTGAGCTCGTCCCTCTCGGCGCTGAGGCGCTTCAGTGCGGCGTCCGCACTGGCTTGAGCGGCTTGTCGGGCGGCTGTGCGCTCCGCCCGCGAACGATTGCAGACGCCACTACGGGCATCTTCCCGCGCCATGTGCCCACGAGCCTAAAGCCCTGCTCCCCCAAGTCCCTCACGCCCGCCAAGTTGCCCCGTGAGCCTGGGGTCTCGGGGTACGCCGGGGGACAAGGTCCAGGAGCAGGGGGCCTACGGACAAGCATGAGCCAAAATGGCTACGGACCTCCTCCTTCTCCTCCTCCTCCTCCTCTTCCTCCTCCTCCATGTTCTCCTCATCCTCCTCCTCCGGTTTCTCCTCCTCCTCCTCCATTCTTTCCCAGCATACTTCTCCCTGTCGCACCCCGAAGTCAGTTTTTAAGGCGGACCAGGCGTTTCGCCTGAGAAGTCCTCGCCTTTTGATGGCTCTGAAGCATAGGGTGTGGCAACAGTTTCACATATGGAGGGCGGGTGGAGTTCAACCTGTGACTCTCGCCTAAGCGCGCCGCACATTCGTTACACTTGCAAGAGCTTCACGGGTTGAGGGCTGATTAGTTTCAAAATGTGGCTCTCGCCTTAGCGCGGCGCACACTCATCTGAACCATTTGCAATAGTTTCACGGATTGAGAGCGAGTGGGTTTCAAAATGTGGCTCTCGCCTTAACGCGGCACACATCCGTTTAAACATATTGCAGGAATGTCACGGATTGAGGGCGGGTCGGGTTCAACAAGCGGCTCTCACCTTAGCGCTGCGCACTTTCGTTGACACTAATTTGAAGAATTGGCATATTCCAATCATCAACTTACCAGAAATGGTGCTTTGGGAGGAATCAGGATTATGCGGGTGCAACAACTACGTAGGATCGTCAATACGCAACAGCCAGGTTGATCCGTTGCGTTGGACTCCCGAGAGCCATGTTTTGGCATGCTGCAGGGTCTTCAAATGGGTGTCTTCCAACGAGGAAACTCCCTCAATGGAAATGAACCATTGTAGGGGCCTGTGAAGAGGGAGGGCTTACTCCAGCTTCGTTGATGACTCTTGGGTTTACACTGGCCCTCCAAACTCCTCCTCCTCCTCCTCCGCTCCTCCTCCTCCTCATCATCATCATCAGCAGCAGCATCATCACCATCACCACCACCACCATCATCATCATCAGCATCATCATCATCATCAGCAGCATCAGCATCATCACCACAATCATCATCGTCATAATCATCATCATCATCACCATCATCATCTTCATCCTCATCATCTTCATCATCTTCATCATCTTCATCATCTTCAGCATCTTCATATTCATCATAATATTCATCTCCATCTTCATCATCAGCAGCATCATCCTCATCCTCATCCTCATCCCTACTCCTTCCTCCCTCACTCTCTACTCCTTCCTCCCGACTCCTCCCTCCATGACGCCCTCCCTCCCACCCTCCCTCCCTCGCGCTTGCTTCTCCTCTCGCCCTCTTCATGTCCCCTCCCTCCTTCTCCCCCTCCTCCTCTGCTTATCGGAACAGAGAAGCGACAGGGGCCATGAGAGCCTTGAGGAGAGCCACAACTAAAGCACCTGGCCAATACATTTCACCTAAGGTAATTCTGCTAGGTGCATTGTCCGTTAATGCTGCCTCCCATACGTCAGGAACCTGGCACAACCTCACTAAAGCAGAACTCAGCACCATCCAAATCCCGTACCAAGGGCGTTACCGCAGCGTCCTTAGAATGCCTAGACTTGAAGCTGGTTGCCCGACGGATCTGGACGTTCGAGCTACGCAAGGCAGGGAGACCGACGGTTGCCACCACCAGCAGGATGGCCAGGCTGAGACTGTTCGGCCAGGTGATAGCTTCTGCCCCTCTGCCTCTCTTGGCATTGGTCCATGCAAAATGTCCTGCTTCAGCCAACCCCTGGCTGGGCGCAGTGCAAGATGACTCTCTGTGGCTCAGAGCGGTGCATCATCGTTTCAGGGACTGCCCCTTGCCCAGCGCGAGCATGGACCCTCGGACGGCTGAGACTCGGAGATAACCTGGAGCGCAAAGCGCGCGCTTCGCTCCGCGTTGCAGGCCTCCGTGTCTCGGCCGCGACGGGATTTGCAAGCATCAGGTTGGCAGGAGCGCGTGCTCAACGTGCCAGCCGATGTTGGCCTCCCTCCTCGTCGAGACCTCCCTCCTCCTCGTGAACGTTGCAAGTATGCTTGCCAGTTCTGCCCGAGAGAGTTTCGCGAGTTAAGTTAAGGCATCTGGACACACATCTATCCGCAAGGGGCACTTTAAGCACATGGACCTTGGTGGAGCAAGGCTAGACACAAGCCGGTGCGCATCATGCATGAAACAATTCTGGCAGGGCGCTCCTCATACGTCACATTACGAATTGGAAAACACCTTGATTAATTTACTGAGACGCCACATGCATCCTATCCATGCTGAGGCTCAAAAGGCCCTAGCATTGGAAACGGAACAAAACAAATCCATGACCCGACAAGGCCGTACGGCATCCTGAGATAAATTCCCCTCGTTTAAATCTCCCGGGGCCCCTTCCACTCAACGCTGTTGCGGTCCAGGCTAACTATTGCAGAGCTGCGGCAGTCAAGTAGAACAACGAGGCTGTCGAAAATATTACAGGGTGTTCGCGAAAAGCTCGAAGCGCACTCCTTCGTTCGAGATGACTGTGCTTTCATAGGGCATCCTGCCTGATCCCGAATTTGGGGCTCTGCACGAAAATGCCACCGTCAAGGTGTTGTCTGATCACACTCGTGCTGTGGCGGATCATTCCGTTGGGGATGGGGGCCGTGCGAGGCTTTCCGTGATTGATTGATTGAGCTACCGGCGGAGACCCAGCCTGGCTAGGGCGCACACAGCTCACAGCCAAAAACGTGCCACCCCAAAGCGCCGATCTGGAAATGACATCCCGCTCTTCGGCGGCAGGCCGCGTCGGAGGTGAGAGAGCACACGGGCGCCAGCCCTGGTGCAGGTGGAGTGAAGGGCCCCCCCCCTCCGCACGTGGCAGGCTCCGTGGGGGCTCGCTAGAGCTGACGCCGCGTCAACAGCTGCAGGTCCGAGTTTCAAGCGACTGGCTCCAGTCCGTGGTCGGAGTATTGTCGGCAACGGCGGTTTCTCAGGGCGGTGCTCGGACGGCAAACCCCTCCCCCCCGCAGTCTGGGAACCCAGGAGCGTGTCTTCTTGGAGCCTCATGCGTTCAAAAGCTCTGTGTGCAGCCTCATGTGCCACCTGCACGGAGGTTGATCCATGTGAGGTTGAACACGTTGGCCGAGCGCCAACTGCCCCGCTGGGAATCAGGATCCCAGATCTGCCGTCTCTTGTCAGGGAGACTGCCAGAGGAGGTGTTCGTTCCGACAGAGCACGACCGCGAGAGGGTGGAGGGGGGAACCCCCCACGAGGCGCGCCCCCTGAGCCATCTCCGCGAGCGCGCTCGCATTGTTACGCAGCCCTCCCACCCTTTCGTTCCCAAGGGCCAGGAGCTCACTCGGCCCTAGCGGGCTGGGGCCCGGCTTTGTGGAAAGGCGGGAGGCGTCTCCCAAGCAGGCGCGTGCCCGCCGAAGCGGCGCGAAGTCATCGCAGCGGCTGTGCTCAGACAAATGCTTCCCTCTCTGCTCGGCCAGTCATCCGTGCTTCCCGGCGAACTCGGTGAAGATGCGGTGGAGGCCGCTGACCCTTGCAAGTGTTTTGTTGAGTCAGCTCGCATCTGTTCTGAAGGCCCCGCGGTGGGCCCTGGCTTAACAAGCAATGTTAAGCACCCGGAGGCCCCTCGGCACTAGCTCGAGTGTCTAGGTTGACACATCAATCCCTGCGAATCTCAGCCAGCAGAAGAAGAAGAAGATGAGCTTGAGGGCACACACAAACTCTGCTGCGCTGGGCCACTCTGAGTTGAGCAGTCAGTCCTCCCCCTTGTCCTCTTTCGCCGCTGAGCCCCCGCCTCCTCCCCGCCTCCTCCTCCCCACCTCCTCCTCCTCCTCCTCCTCCTCCTCCTCTCCTCCTCTTTCTCCTCTCCTCCCCTCCTCCTCCTCCTCCTCCTCCTCCTATGTCTCCTCCTCCTCCTCGTCTTTCTCCTCCTCCTCTTTCTCCTCCTCCTCCTCTGTATCCTCCTCCTCTTTCTCTTTCTCTTCCCTCCTCATCCTCCTCTTCTTATTCGTAATGTTCTCATTATTAGTATTATTCTTCATCTTATTATTAGTACCATCATTATTATTCATAGTATTATTCGTAGTAACATTCGTCTTCGTCTTATTCGTCTTCTCCTTCGTACTCTTATTCTTCATAGTATGAATATTATGCTTAATCTGGTTAGTATGCTTGTTATGCTTCTTCTTCGTCTTCCCCCTCTTCCTCATCTTCCTCCTCTTCCTCCTCCTCCTCTTCTTCTTAGTCGTCGTATGATTATTATTCGTCTTCTTCGTGATATTAGTTGTATTGTTATTCCTCGTATTATTACTCTTGTTATTCTTATTGGTATCATTATTCTTATTATTCTTCTTATTATTAGTATTAGTATTATTATTATTAGTATTATTAGTAGTAGTAGTATTATTAGTATTATTATTATCATCATCATTATTATTAATATGATTAGTATTAGTGATATTAGCCTTATTAGTATTAGTATTATTGTTATTATGCTTCCTCCTCCTCCTCCTCCTCCTCCTCCTCCTCCTCCTCCTCCTCCTCCCCCTCCCCCTCCCCCTCCCCCTCCCCCTCCTCCCCCTCCTCCTCCTCCTCCTCCTCCTCCTCCTCCTCCTCCGTCCTGCTCTTCCTCCTCCTCCTCCTCCTCCACCTCCTCCTCTTCCTCCTCCTCCTCCTCCTCCTCCTCCTCTCTCCTCCTCCTCTTCCTCCTCCTCCTCCTCCTCCTCCTCCTCCTCCTCCTCCCCCTCCTCCTCCTCCTCCTCCTCCTCCTCCTCCTCCTTCTCCTCCTCCCTCTTGTCCCCTTTCGCCGCTGAGCCCCCTCCTCCCCCTCCCCCGCTCCCAACCCGACGTGCTAGCTCTGATCGCTTCCAGTTGGGCTAAGGCGCGCAGGCGAAGGAGACAAGAGTCCAGGGAAAGGAAGAGGATCCCTGTGAAGTTGCCAGCAGGATTATTTTAGGTATGCATAGCGCTTCTGTGCCCCAGTCTCAGAAAGAGATGGTGCAGACCGACCTGCATAGATGGCTTGCTCTGGCCACGGCGCGCTGAGAAAACCATGGGGTCTGTCCAAGTTAACTGCCTTACTGAGGGGGGAGAACATGCAGCAGTTCGCGCGACAGGTGCGTGCCATACGGCTGACCTTCGACCACCAGGCCGCCGAGGGACCGCGGCTCCGCGTCATGGGCGGCGTTTTGGCCCTGCACTAGGTCGGGCGTGTCCTCCTACAGGCGGAGTTGGGAGGAAAAATAACAAATCCGCCGACCCTGTCGGCGTGACCAGGGCTGTTCCATCGCCATCGCCGTCGATGCCGCCGTCGCGTCGCCGCCGCCATCACGTTCCATCCTTCCCCTGAGTCCGTCGCCGCTCCCCCCTTTCCTTGGGCCCTCGTCCTCAAGCACGCCAGCCCAAGCGAAATATAGCCCAACCACAGTGAAATTAAGCAACGTTGTCATTGAGTCGAAGGGGAGCCCCTTCCCTTTGATCCCCGCGGGGGGGGAGGGGTCCCCGGGGGGGTCCCTGGGGGAGGTCCCGGGGAAGGAGGGGGACCCGGGTCAGAATACCACCCTCCCAGGGCGCGTCGGGAGCGCACAGCAAAAACTCAAGACGGGCCGATTTCCCTGCCATTTCCGTCGAGGGCCGAGGCCTCCAGGGTCGGCGGCACCGGCCGTAAGGCCTTCGCAATAACCAAAAAATAGCAAAGTAATAGTCGAAAAATCGACCCCTGACTATTCCTTTGACTATTTTTGAATATTCCTCCTCTGGAGGGCATGCCCGAATTAAGCCCTGCACTGTTTGTCCTTCACTGCTCGGGCCCGCTGATGGTGCCCCTCGCCCCTATAAGCCTGCTGGACCTGTCTGGACCGTGGTGGTCGTCTTGGCTGCTCCTTTGCTCCATGCGTGGGGGCCCAAGGCTGGAGCTATAGATGCTCCCGGGTCGAGGGGCCACGGGCCACCCCACCCAGATGGGATGGGTCCCAGGACTCCACGGCCCCCCCACCCAGATTGGGGGCACGACGACGACGAAGGCTGGAGCTACAGATGCTCCACACACCCCTCCCCGGTGACCTCCACACCGTGGAGCTCTCGTGGACTGCCAATCCTCCTCCTCCTCCTCCTCCTCCTCCTCCTCCTCCTCCTCCTCCTCCTCCTCCCTCCTCCCTCCTCCCCCTCCCCCTCCCCCTCCCCCTCCCCCTCCCCTCCTCCTCCTCCTCCTCCTCCTCCTCCTCCTCCTCCTCCTCCTCCTCCTCCTCCTCCTCCTCCTCCTCCTCCTCCGCCGTCCCACATCCAAATGTACAGACGAAAATCTCGTGTGACTGCGTCTACGCGCGCGCGCGGGAATTCGAACGCGGCCTGAGAGCAATCCAGGGGGTACGCTGGCACTAGGAGGTTGAACGCCGCCAGCATGACCTCCCCAGCAAGGGGGGGAGGAGAAGCAGAAGGACCAGGATGAAGATCCAGAGGCTGTAGAGAAGCAAGATGGTGCCTTACCCCATCCCAACGTCCCCTCTCCACGTCCTGCCCGCCTTCTAATTCATCAGCTCCCCCCGTACCCTTGCCATCGCTCGGACGTCCATTCAACGTGCACGCTTCGGTTTCGTGCGTTTTCCTCGCAAGATGATCCTATATGCTCCTCGGTGGTCCTCGCCGAGGAAGAAGCGCGCACACGTCCGAGCGATGCCAAGCGCCTCCCTCACATCTTCCCCCCTCCATCCGCGCTTCATATATCCTCCTTCGCCTCCTGGTCGTCTGACCTCCCTGTACTTGTCTTCTGCCCTCATCATCCTCCATCTTCCAACGCGTCCCTACATCCGACCTCTTACTCCCTTCGATTCCTCTTGCTAATCCTCATACCTCACTGTCTGTCATGAGTTCCTACTCTGTTTCCTTCTTCCCCTCCTCCTGCTTCCCCTCCTCCTCCTCCTCCTCCTCCTCATCATCATCATCATCATCCTCCCAGCTCCTCCTCCTCCTCCTCTTCCTCCTCCTCCTCCTCCTCCCTCCACGTTGCCGTCCCCCCTTCCTGCTCTTGCTGATGCTGATCTTGCTGATGCTGCTGCTGCTGCTGCTGCTGCTCAATTCCTTCTCATTATAGATAACTCCTCCCTGTCGCACCCCGAGGACAGTTTTTAAGGCGGGCTGGGCGTTTCGCCTGAGACTTCCCCACCATTTATGACTCTGAAGCTTAAAGAGTGGCAACAGTTTCACAGATGGAGGGCAGGTGGTTTTCAATATGTGGCTCTCGCCTTAGCGCCGCGCACAAAGAGCTTCACAGATTAAGGCGAATCTGTTTCAACATGTGGCTCTCGCCTTAGCGCCGTGCGCACTCTTTTTTAACAACTGCAAGTGTTTCACGGATTAAGGGCGGGTCGTTTTCAAAAATGGGGCTCTCGCCTTCGCGCCGCGCACACCCGTGCTAAACATTTGCAAGGGTTGCGCGGATTGAGGGCGGTTCCTTTTCAAAATGTGGCTCTCGCCTTCGCGTCGCGTATAGTCGTTTTCAGCATTTGCAAGAGTTGCGCGGATTGAGGGCGAGTGGTTTTCAACATGTGGCTCTCGCATTAGCACCTCGCACATTCGTTGTCAACATTTGCAACAGCTGCACGGAGTGAAGGCGAGTGGTTTTCAAAATGTGGCTCTCGCCTTAGCGCCGCGCACATTCCTTGTAAAACAATGCAAGAGCTTCACGGATTGAGGGCGGGTCGTTTTCAACATGTGTCTCTCGCCTTAGCGCCGCGCACTTTCGTTAAAGATTTGCAAGAGTTTCACGGATTGAGGGCGAGTGGTTTTCAAAATGTGGCTCTCGCCTTCGCGCCGCGTACATTCGTTTTAAACATTAGCAACATTTCACGGTTTTCCGTGATCAGCGTACCAGAAATGGCGTTTTGGAAGGATTCCGGATTATACGGGCGCAGCAGTTATGTTGATTCGCTATGTTGAAATCCCAAAAATGGCGTTCTGGCACGATTCTGGATCGTCACGACGCAGCAGTCAAGTTGATACGTGGCGTTGAAATCCCGAGAACTTCTTTTGGCCCGCTTCAGGATCTTCAAACTGTTGTCTTCCAACGAAGCAATCCCCTCAATGGAAATGAACCGTTGTGAGGGCCTATAAAGAGGGGGATTGGAGGGAGGGTTAATTCCACCATCGTTGATGACCCTTGGGTTTCCACTGGCCATTCTCCTCCTCCTCCTCCTCCTCATCCTCCTCCTCCGCCTCCTCATACTCCTCCTCATCCTCCTTCTCCCCTTGCGTCTCCTCTGGTTTCTCTTCATGTTGATCCTCCTCCTCCTCGTCATCATCATCATCACCACCACCACCACCATCATCATCATCATCATCATCGTCGTCGTCCTCGTCGTCGTCATCATCATCAACATCATCATCATCATCAGCATCATCATCATCATCGTCGTCATCATCATCATCATCCTCATCCTCATCCTCATCCTCATCCTCATCATCATCATCATCATCATCCTCATCCTCCTCCTCATCATCATCATCATCATCATCATCATCATCATCGCCACCACAACCATTATCATAATCATCATCATCAACAGCATCATCATCATCAGCATTATCATTACCTTCATCATCGCCAGCCACATCATCATCATCATCAACAACAGCATCATTGCCATCATCATCATCAGCATCATCATCGTCATCGACATCGTCATCGTCATCATCATCGCCGGCGTCGTCATCATCGTCTTCATCCGCCTCCTCCTCCTCCTCCGCCTCCTCCTCCTCATCGTCATCGTCATCGTCGTCATCATCAGCATCAGCATCATCATCATCAGTATCATCAGCATCATTAATATCCATATCCTCCTTATCCTTCTTCTCCTCCTCATCATCAGCATCAGCATCAGCATCAGCATCATCATCATCATCATCATCATCATCATCATCATCCGCATCATCACAATCATCATCAGCACCAGCATCCTCATCATCAGCATCATCATCACCATCACCACCATCATCCTCATCCTCATCCTCATCATCCTCATCATCATCATCGTCACCATCCTCCGCATCAGCATCATCATCAGCAACATCAGCATGATCATCATCATCATCATCATCATCATCAGCATCAGCATCATCAGCATGATCATCATCAGCATCAGCATAATCGTTATCAACATCAGCACCATCATCATCAGCATCCGAATCAGAATCACCAGCATCATCATAATACTCAGCACCGTCAGTATCATCATCATCATCATCATCATCATCATCATCAGCATCAACAGCATCATCATCATCATCAGCATTATCATCTGCATCGGCATCATCATCATCATCAGCATCATCATCATCGTCATCAGCATCTGCATCATCATCAATAACAGCAGCATTGCCATCATCATCATCATCATCAGCATCATCAATCATTAACATCAGCATCATCATCATCAGCATCAGCATCATCGCCATCGTCATCAGAATCGCCGTCGTCGTCATCATCTTCCTCCTCCTCATCATCATCATTCGCACTAGCATCAACATCGTTATGATCAGCATCGTCATCATTATCATCATTAAGATCCTCATCATCATCATCATCATCATCATCATCATCATCATCAGCATCAAAATCAACAGCATCAGCATCAACATCAGCATCAGCACCAACATCAACGGCATCATCATCATCATCATCATCACAATCCGCATCCTCATCCTCATCATCATCATCATCATCACCACCATCACCTGCATCATCATCAACACCATCATCATCATCATCATCATCATTTGCATTCGGAACATCATCATAAAGATCCTCACCATCAAGATCAGTATTAACATCATCATTACCATCATCATCCTCATCAACATCATCGTCGTCATCGTCCTCATCCTGATCCTCCTCCTTCTCATCATCATCCTCATCATCAGCATCATTATCATGCTCCTCCTCCTCATCATCATCAGCATCAGTATCACCACCACCATAATTATCATCAGCATCATCATCGTCGTCCTCCTCGTCCTCCTCATAATGATGATCATCATCAGCATCATACTCATCAGCATTACCACCAACATCCTCATCAGCACTATCATCACCATCATCCTACTCGAAGTCATAAACATCAACAACATCATCATCATCATCATCATCATCCGCATCCTCATCCTCATCCTCATCATCCTCATCCACATCCTGGTCCTCATCCGCATCCTCATCCCCATCCTTCTCCCTCCCTCCTTTCCTCCCTCTCTCCTGCTCCTCCTCTCGTCCTCTTCCTGCGGCGCTGAAGCTGCCGGGTTTGAAGAGGAGGAGGCGGAGGAGGAGGCGGCGGAGGAAGAGGGGGAGGAGGAGTAGGAGGGGGAGGAGGAGGAGGAGGAGGAGGAGGAGGAGGAGGAGGATACGGATCCCCGAACGCGGTGCGGGCCCTTCGGGGGGCTGGGGAAAAGTGCGCCGTGGCGCGTGGGAGAGCGCCCGCCTTCCCGGTCCTCCTCCCATCCCTTCTTAAACCACCTTCTTAAACCACCTTCTTAAAAGAAACCACTATTCTTGAACCACCTTCTTGAAACCGCCTTATTAATCGCGACCGTGTAGCTGCCGGCGTGCGGTAAATGATGATGCGCGCTGCTTCCACCTGTCCCTGTTCTGGGCTTCGTCCTTCCAGAACAGCGAATGTTCTCGCAAATCGTCCTCCCAGCGGAACCAGCGTGTGCGCCACGGTCTCCGTGGCCTCCCTCCCGCCAAGCTTCGCGTGGCGCACCACTCAGCGTCGCGCCACTCCACTGCCCTTTTGCACCACCTGTCTCCGGGCATTCTCGCAATGTGCCCCGTCCATCGCCATTTTGTAGCGAAGAACGTGGGTACCCAACATTGCACCCCGCATTTACTAGCAGCATCGCGCGCAACGTGCGTGGCGCGAATAATCAAAAAAAACCATTGCTCTTGAGGCCGGCGCTTGATGCCCACAACTCTTCGAAGCATATCGTTCTGAGTTGACTGCAGGCGTCTTTTCTCCTCCTCGGTAGGCAACCACGATTCGCAACACCAGAGGACGCTTTTCGATACGCAGGCATCGAACAGCCGAAGGCGCTTTCTCAACAGGCCGCGCCTTGGGTTCAGAAGCGGCCACAGCTGATGAAATGTTGCCCACCCAGCCTTGATGCGCGAGGAGATCTCCTTGCTAGTGCGGCCAGCAAGGGTGAACTGCGCGCCGAGAATTTTAAAGCCGGTTGTAGCTGATACGACGGGAAATTGATGCCCATGCACTTCAAGATGTCCTCGGTCATCGGCGCTGTTGTGCTGGATGAAACACTTATCTACGTTCAGCGACGGACCTCTCTTTGCCAGCTCCGTCATCGCGTCTCCAATCATCTGCTGCAGCGCGTCTGCTGATCGCGCCACCAGAGTCGTGTCATGT